CCCCAAAACCCCAAAACCCCAAAACCCCTTTCGTTACATACATGTTGAAATTTGATTAACTCAACTACGAAGACTTTAGATACAACTTCACTAGAACAGGAACCAGCAAGCATACACTCACAATTAGGATCCCGATGTAATCTGAACTTACGAAAGTGTAGTTGAAGACCAATGCATCTGATAGAAGGGTAAACACATTCTCTGTGTAGAGTAATGGAGACAGCTTTGAAGCCTCTTCATATTGCATAGCTAGGCTTAGAGGCCCAACACATAAGCATGACCCGATACCTACAAGAGAAAGGAGGATAATGTCCCACATATCGTAGTGAAAAGTGCTTTGGTGCCCAGTGGTCATTAGGACTAAATTATAACATACTGCGAATATCAGAAATCCAAAGCCAACATTTGCCGGTCGAACTGTAAAATGGATGTTTTCTGAGCTAATCATTCTGACGAATATAAATATCAATGCTTGGAACCAAGCAGCAAGGACAACCATGATTATCCCAAGAACAATGCTGCCACCTTTCTCCTCTTCTTCTTCCTCATTAAGTGATAAAAAGTAGATTCCTACAAAGGCTCCTATTGCTGAGAAGATGATTGATTTTGATAGCTTCTCTCTGAGAACAAAAAAGGCTAAGATAACAGAAAAGATCGGGTTAGTGCTAAAAATCAATGTACTCTTTCCAACTGGGATCATTGAGATTCCTTTATAAACTCATAATTGGACAAGAATAGTAGAAACCATACTTAATAGCATTGCGATCAGTGGCTTTTTGGGTAAGTTTGTGATGGATAAACTAACTCCTAAGATTTGTGACCAGGCTATATAAATAATTGAAAGCCAGATTCCGAAAAATGTTATTCAATCAATACTTCCTAATGTCGGATTTCTATCGAAAGCCATCTTTGCAAAAACATGTGCACAAGTGATACCAAAAACTGCAATGAACATAAAGAAATATCCAAGAAATGTATTTTTGCTTGGAGTCTTAATTTTCTTAGCTTCTTCTTGCACTTCAAATGATTGTATTTCTTTGCTCACAAAAGATCTAGCTACTTCAGCATTTTCTTCCCCTGAGTCTTTGGAGCTAAGTAACTTTTCTGAATTTTGATCGGAACTCAATTCTCGGTCGATTAGGGACATCCTATTGGATTTATTTAAATATTCTTAATCTCAATTTCGTTTCAGTAAGTAGGGGTTTTGGGGTTTTGGGGTTTTGGGG